AACTATAACAGTTGTCACAACTCGAGATCCCCTGCAGTATCACCTCCGTTAATTTGAGGATGAGGGTCATAGTAAGTCAAACTTTAAAGATGGACATATGCTGTCGCGGACTTTTTTTTAAAACTTTTAAAAGGGAACACTTTCGTCATAGATGATTTTTGTGCACCTTTAACTGTTTACAAATGAGTTTACGCTCACAAATGAAATATTTTTACTCGATTCTGCAATATTTTTCCTGACGGCCGTTATTGCGCTGCTTTTCGAGTTTCCATACAAAAATGACATTGACATTTAGCACTCGCAAACTTTTCGAATTCGATATTGGTTCGTACTAGGGGTACAGAATCACATTAGAATCATCCGACACGACGATTAGTGCAATAGGTATGAGTGATCAAAGTGATGGGTGTGAACAAACCACTGCGTCACTAGATACATTTAATAATAAGGGCATGGACCAATGGTAAGGGGGACACACTTTTTTTAACAGCAAAGCTGCAATGGTGCATTCTATACAACGGGTCCTAAACTACGCAACAAAATATTTACTATCAGTTAAATATATTTTCAAGCAAGGTTTATAATTATATGAAGAAATCCATTGTGAATAATACAAGCCTGAGAACAAAAACTATAGTCTAGTCTCCACTAGTTGAATATGGGTCATTTTCGAATTCTCTGCAGGTTTTCCTTACGTTAACTTCCTAAAATATTTTTTTTATAAACTATTTCCTCCTTCCACAAGTTCGGCTATCTGACTGACGTTGCATTCAACTTCCGCCCCTTCGCACCTTCTCGAAAAGTCTCTGACACCGTGTCAATGTTATTTAGGTGGCGCGGTAGCACCATTTGCCTTGCCTGACCTTGCCGGCCCGCAAAAATGCTTCTTCACGCCTCTCTTAAAGGACCCCAGATTACAGGAAGGAGGGAACACGTGCGCGGGCAAAGAATTCCACTTACGAATAGTACGACAAAGAAATGAGTCGCCAAACTTCTTTGTTCGTGTAGGAATAGTGGCCACAGTAAGTCGGTGGCAACGTAGGCCAGCGCGCGTGGTCCTCTGAAGAAAAGGTGATGGAGGGATTAGCGAGAACACTCGCCGTGGTATAGTCGGTAGAATGCGCTTAATGATGCCACATCACGGCGTAATTGTAGAGACTCGAGTTTCTTAGTTACCTCTTCATCGCCAATGATGCGGGCAGCACGCCGCTGCAACCTATCCAAGGCATCGAGTAAGTACTTAGCGGAGCCATCCCAGAGGTGCGAGCAATATTCCACGCAGGACCGCACTTGCGTTTTGTACAACAAGCACAGTTGATCGGGCGTGAAAAAACGCCGCACCTTGTTCAGGACTCCCGAGTTTGCGTGAAGCTGCTTTGATCAAGGTCTCGATGTAGTCCTTTGGAGTCAGGTCTGAGCGAACCTCCATGCCGAGCATGGTAATATATCTCTGTAGCGCCAGTGTTGTGCCCTGAAGAGAGGGAAGGGGAAGGAATGGCGATGTTTTTGCTGTGAAAGCGCAAGCCTGAGTTTTCTTGGCATTGAACTCAACCAAGTTCCTGGTACCCCATTCGGAAATGTGGTCCAAAGCCCGATTGAGCTCAACGACAAGATTCTCTCGTTTCTCCGTCGTTTCTACCTGTCCAGCCGCCGCGTTTCCAAAGTATCTCGCATGCACTGTGCTATCGTCTGCATAGCAATGAATATTCGCAAGTGGAATCAAATCATTGATATGCAGCAGAAAGAGTGTGGGGGATAAAACGGAGCCCTGAGGAACACCGGCATTCACTGACATGAACTTCGAACTACATCCGTCCGTAAGGACGCGAATTCTACGCTCATGCAGGAAGTCAGCTACCCAGGCGCAGAGCTGAGCAGGCAGACCGTATGCAGGCAGTCAAGGCTAATAGCCAGAGACTCTCCCCGCTTGTCTATAGCTTCACCCCAGATGTGTGTCACGTACGCTAGAAGGTCACCCGTCGATCGATTCGGCCTAAATCCGTATTGACGATCGTGAATCTTTATTTCTGAGTCGAATTTACTATAATAGTAACAGAGTGCTGCCATGAATACTTACGTAACGCGGGACAAAATTTAAAAAATCGAATGAATTAAAAATATTCACAATATTTTGTTTTAAAGTATTAAACGTAAATTATAAATTAATGCATTTACTAATAAAATTCATTTTAGTTTATTAATAAAAGAGACAAACGAATTATTCGTCTATGATGTTACTGTATTACTATATGGGACACGATGACTTTGTATGGAAAACAACTATGTTACCAAACATTACCATTCTGTTACTTAAAAAAAGTGGAAAAAAATTAAATTATGTCGCAATTTTTTCCTGTTTTATGTTTTCTTTATTAAATTATTTTTAATTTATATAACTCACAACAAACAATTGTCATTAATAAAAAAAATATAAATATAGAATCTGGAGGGACACGAAAACCTGCGACGAATTTGAAAATGGCCCATATATAAAAACAACTTACCATGCATTTGACACAAACTATACTTTTTAAAAGTTCAAACTGAAAAGATCGATTTCAGCCAATACGTGATCGCAAGCATACTTGATTATTCAATGGGAGTAATAGGTTCATTTATAAACATATTTCTTTCTTGATCACTGTTTTCTGTTTTAACATGTTAATTCATATGGCACTAAGTAGTGCATTTCGGAGATAGTCGATAGTCGCGACGCTGGATATCTCTCGGTTCCGATTGGGCGCCGACGCGTGAGGTATGCGCTGCGCTCCGGCGCCGATGCTACTAGAAACCGACTGTCCCGGAATGTTTGCATCTCAAACAATAATTCACATTATGTCTCGGTCTTTTTTGATTTACTTCACTGTTTTTGCTACAGTTTAAAAGCGATAATAAATAACTGCACGAACGGCTATAGTTCATTGAAACGTCAAATCTGTCTTTTCAGACACGTAATATGCTAAAGTTATATACTATAACGAAATACAGTTGTTTCTGTTTTTTTTTAAAGAATTGATGATGTATTGTTACTGCATATATTGGTACCTATAATTCAAGATGGCTCCCGCTATTATAGTACTACATTTATAGATTCGGTGTGGCAATACTGTTATTAAGGTTACTTTAATAAATGACAATATCTGGTATGTGTTAACTAGTGCATATAATACCGTGAGAAAAATCTCGATGACGTGTCTTTGTGAAAATCAACAGGTCTTTACTGCGAGGTAGTTCTTGATTGAATAGGTTTGTTTATAAACTGCCCTGTATTATAATGCGGTTTTATTAAATAACATTTTGTGAAACAAACAGATGACTGAATGCAATTAATACGTTGGATGAAAACAGCATGCATATTATGTTCTATCTGTATCTGCTCTATCCAACCATAACATAACAGTAGGCGCCAGCGTAATCGTAACACACTCGTCTTTTAATCACCATCCCAACGTCAGTGCTACTCGAGTAACTTAACACGTCCAAAATAATTACCGTTGTTTCCTCGCAGTTGTTAGGATCAGTGACAGTGCCAGTGCAGTGACGCTAACGATTAACGATTGTTTAACTTGTCGAAGGTGCGCGCTAGTGAAATGAACATTTTTATGCAAAATGCTCAAATATCACCGGCGTTCTCATAGACATAAATCGCCAGTTCAGTGCTTGAGATGGAGGTTTGTGTGTTTTTATTTATTATATGAAAGCTCTCAAGCCAAACTTTACCTGTCACTATATTATTTTATGAACATAATAAACAGACTCATTTATAAATTTTTTCTTGCAAATATTGATACAGTTTACGCACAGCTATTGTTTTTGTTAAGATTATGGATTGTGTTATTGTTTTTATATTAAAAGTTATAATTACCTCTTCGAATTAAGTATAGATAACGATGACGGATGAAAACACCAATTATTTGCTTTATTGAGGGACTTGTCTACATAAAAAAGCCTGAAGAAAAGAATATAATATCTCTCCAATTACCCAATCCCCCCACATTGGGTAATTGGAGAGATATTATATTCTTAAAAAATCTTATTGTTCGAATAGAAATTCAACTGGCTTACTTGAGGAAAATATTATTAGATTTCTACATATTGCCTTGTTTGATATTTGTTAATCGCCTTTTTTTTTACAAGTAATTACGTCGAGTATTTATCACATATTTGTCGAACACTTAATTCTTTGGACATCTCATCTAATGGAAAAATCTTTAGATAGAGTTCTTTCAGCAGCAACAGCCCTTGCTTTGTTTCTTGATGGTTCTTCTCAGTATAAGGTCTCCCGCCGTTGATTTACGAACCGATGGCGTAGCTTCTAGACATTCATGAGTGCTTGTAACAGCCTAAACTGAATAAATGATTTTGATTATGATTATTTCCTTTTCGGTAAGACAGAAAACTTAATAGTCAAAGCAGCCCATTATACAGATAAAAAAAATCTGAAATTAGTTAAAATTAAAAAGACACTGGACTTGCCGTGTCATATGATACTTTATGTATGTACACTATGTTGCGATTACACTTGGTTGTTAGCTCGAATACGAATGCCAATGGAATTAAGGTAAACGACTAAGTGTAAATGAACGGAGTCGAGTACTACGCCAGTATTAGGGTAGTTTTCGTTTTGGTTACCGACATCGTCTTCCAGCCCGTATTATCAAGTGTAAATATTGCTTCGGATGCTCGTAATGGAGTAATGTCTTTTGTACACCCGAATACGGGCAAATGTAATTAAGCCATTATCCCAAATTTGTTTGTCGCTTGCAGATCATCAGGCGATTCGTATGCGGCCCGCACGGCTGCTGTGGAATCTACCCTCGAACCGATTTATTATTTCAATAGTCAAAGCAGAAATACATGGAACAGACTAAAAGTAAAAAAAATACTGATCGTGGCGTGTTATGAGTTATGATCTGACATTCATATGACATTCAGTATAATGGGACGCTTTGAAAAATCACACGTTTGGACCATTCTTCTAACTACTTCGTTCCTTGCAGATCGTCAGGCGACTCGGATGCGACCAGCACAGCTGCCGTGGAGACGACCCTCGAGCGGCTGCGCGGCACCCGCGGCGCACTCGAGGAACTCTGGTCCGACCGGGAGCGCCGGCTCGAACTCACGCTGCAGCTCAGGCACTTTGAGCGAGACGCACTTGAGGTGAGCGACCGTTTGAAGACCATAGACAGACTCAAATTGGAGCACCCGTCTGGGGAAGTAACCTCCAGCTTGCAGAAGATCATAGTATAATAACACTGCCTTTTGGTGGTGCTGTGCTTCTGACGGTAAGTAAGGTTCCAGGGCTCCATGGGGTAGGGGATTGGGTCAGGGTAGGCAACGATGCGAGTGATATTTTTGGTATCGCATTTTATAAAAGGGTCGCTTACTTTATTAGTATTATTTATATTATGGATTTGGTTTGATCGTGATTATAATATTGTTTATTAACACTTGTACTACCTAAAACGTAGTTATTAATATAATATTAATTGTAGGTGTCATCTCGTCTGGAGCTTTGGGGTGACGAATTGCAGCGGACGGAGCCTCCCCGCGACCCCCAACAAGCCGAACAAGCGCTCGCGGCGCACAACGAGAGCGTCGCCAGAATGCAACATGCCACCTATCAGGTAAACGCTGTCGGTGGTTTGCTAACATTGTATTTTGCGCGCCATGAGACAATATTATCTCAATAGATGTTGAGCTACGGTTAAGGTAACGTAAGGTGACATTAATGAAGAGAAATGTCTAAGTACAATAAAATACAGAGCTCTCACTATTTATCTATCTTTTTTTTATGAATTGGAAATTCGCTTTAGATCAATCTAATGAGCAAAGGGTGTAAGACATTGCGATTTTTCAAGTCCATCGAAAAGTCAGAAGGTTTGAAAACAAAAGCCCCCAGTTTTTACGTCTCACAGAATGTTATTAATACTGTATTGGTTATGACTTATTTTTAAATTAATTAATCTACTTTCATCTAAAGCTGTTAAGTTTATTTATGTGTTGTTTCAGCTAAATTACCTTGAATGAGTGGTAGGATTTTCTAAAAAATATATTTTTGCATATACATTATATGTCTTAGTGAACAACGAAATATTTTCGTCAATTTGCACGATGTCCACAGGGTCGCTGCCGGGGTGACCCGAGAGAACTCTATGGAGATCTTACACTGGCGGCTATTGACTGGCTGCGTGCCTGGGATGTAGATTTATAACCCGAGTTTTCTACAGTTAATTTACTGCGAAACGATAAAAAAATAAAATGTCAAGTTTAACGTTAGGATTTTGACGACCTCCGTGGCCGAGTGATATACGCCGGGTTTTAAGGCGTCACCTACTCGAAAGGTCACGGGTTCGAATCCCTGTGGGGCCAATGTTAGCATGATAAATACGAGCATTTGTACCCAATCATGGATGTTTATATGTATCAATATAGATAAAAACATACTTATATGTATTCTATCCGTTACACTAGTATAATACAAGGCTTTCAGTGCTTATTCTGGGGCTAAGCTGATTGATATGGGTGTTGAAAATATATTTTAATATTAAGTTCCAAGTGTTTTGACTTGCGTGATTATTATTGCAGGTCGTCCAACAAGGCCAGGAGCTGGCGGCCGCGATAGCCGAAGCGTCGGACGTGATGGCCTCCAGCAACTCGGACGGGTCGGAGCCAGCGCCGCTCGACGCGCAGGCGCGCGTGCAACTTCTGCTCGAGTTCCTGCACGACAGGCAGCTGGATCTGGAAGAACTGGCTGAGGAGAGGCGAGCCCGGTTCGAACAATGCGTGCAGCTCGGTAAGCTCCGATGAATGCAAGCGAATATTGAAGAAATGCTTTATATCTTTCCATTTCCTATTTATTTTCCCTGGCGGTTATTTTTTTAATCTCAATCTGAATTGCCAGGAGTCTTGAAGGACTTTTATAAATTTTGTTGCATGTGGAATGACTTTAAGAGAGAATAGGCTATCAACAAGCAACTCGTTGGCCAGTAGGTTTCGGTGCATGGTTAGTCGTTGGACCTTACAGCCTTATAATTCTTCTACTATAGTAGGAATATTTAAGTACTCATGGATTTCGCTGTTTCGTGTGAACCATAGTGCGTTTACAATGTTTCTGAGAATTCCATTTTGAGCTCTTTGAAGGCACATTATGTTGCTGTTAGTGGCCATAATTGAATACCGTAGGTCCATACAGGTTTTAAAAGAAAATTGTATAGATGCAGTTTGCTGTCCACTGTGAGAACTGAATTTGGACCCATCATCCAATAACTTTGTATTTATCTAATCCCGCTTCTGTTGTATGTGGTTTTCTATGTTAACCTCTTTTTCAAATATAAAACGAGGTACTTGACGGAGTCGGTCTCAGGAATGACATTGTTGCCTAGTTTTACTGCAGGGCAATTTCTTTTCCTTAAATTGAACTTGATATGGTGGGACATGTGTGCACTGGCGCGGACATGCCACTTTCGAAACCAGGTGTTCGTTTTATCCAGCACTGACTGAAGTTTAGACCTAGCTTTTATGGGATCTTCGTCGCATGATAGATAAGCAATGTCATCGGCATACGTCGCCGCAGTTACATCAGGGCTGGTAGGGAGATTCGATGTGAAGATGGTATATAGAACTGGGTCTATACCTGTTTAACTCCACTTTCGATGTTATACATATGTTAAAAATGATCAAAGACCTGTTGTACATCCAGAAACAGCTGAGGTGTATTCCTTCTTCAAACCCTTGTCGTATTGTATGTTAAATACGATGGACTTGCTCAACGATTGAGTGTGATTTCCTAAATCCAAACTGATGGGTGGGGACCAAGTCACATTCATCCATGGCAGCTTTTAGCCTAAGTAGAAAAACTATTTCCCATAATTTAGACAATACCGTTGTAAGGCAGGTCGGTATGACGACGCTTCATTTTTTGGTTTGCCTGGCTTGTGAATGAGAATAATTTGAGAAATTTTCCATAACGCAGGCACATGACACTTTATAAATACCGCGTTGAAAAGATATGTCAAGTACAGGATGGGTATGGGGTGATTAATTCATAACCAGGAGCCTTATTTGTACCTGATTCTGGATCTGATTTCTGCTACTTTCCTGGGAGATATTGCTTTGATCGGTGACGAAATTTTAAAGTCTCTTTTAATTCTATCTTCTATATCTTGGTCAATAGTTCCGTGGTTAGGAATAAATATTTTTGAGAGGTGGATCGCAAATGCGTCAGCTCTGATGGGAGGATTGCGTTTTGCGACGTCGAGATTTTTTGTTGCCTTCCATAGAGAGTGTTCTCCTTGGTCAGTTGCAGATAGTAATAATATTTTTGATCGCACTTCCGCATTTGCCGAATTTCTCTCATTTCCAACTTTTTTGCGTCTTGATTAAAGATTGTTTTGTCGGATGGATGGACGTTTTTCTTAAATCTTGAGTTTGATTTCAATTTTTTGAACTATAAGCTTGTTTTGTTGGTATTTGAATATCTCAGGTGAATTGATCCAACTGGCTGTTTGGATGAGGTTTATTTTTATATCTGCGAGCCTCATCATCATCAGGGGTTTCTCAGATTTAATTCTGTTGGTTTCCAAGTAGTTCTGTTAGTTCTAAATTCATCCCAGTCAGTCCTATAGTTATAAATTGATTCTGATAGCTCCTGAGGAATAAGGTCTATTGTACATGTCTTTAAGTGGAATATGATCAGACGATCCGTTAAGGCTTGACTTAATCCCTATGTAGCGGTTTTTCATTCCACCAGCGGCAAAGAAATCTAAGAGCTCCGGAAGTTTCTCTGGATCTGTCGGCCAGTAGGTAGGTCTACCACTCGACCATGCATTGCGATCTACCGAACTTTTTAAGGCTCAACCTCTAGTTACCGTGCAGCGGGCGCCCAACGAGACGTTCTTAGCATTCCAATCACCACCACTTATGAAAAGATGGACAAGAGTATGAAAGTATAGTGAGAACATATTATCTTTAGTAATTTTAAGCTTTGGGGGACAGTATATTGCAGACATAAATAATGGTCCGGTGGTATTTTCTAATCTCACAGTGGTAGCCTGGATGAATGGAGTTGAATATGACTCTAGACTGACCCCGCAGGTGCTTTTCCGTCTGGGTGGGGAGTAGTATAAACATTGTACCCACTTAGTCGAAAAGGTGTATCGAGGTTACATGTGACTCAGATATGAGAACAACATCTAGTCTATTTTTGTAAATGATAGATTCAAGCTCTAATATGTTTGGTACCACTCCATTTATGTTCCAAGTTTCAATACGAAGGGAGGTGATTTTGACTTCATTTTGGTGCTTACAGTTGTCAAGAGGTCTAGTAATATTTCTATTTGTTGAAGTTGTAGGTCATTTTATTCGGATTGTTCTTAAGTAGATTTTCGATTGTGGATTGTTCTGCTTTTAAATTTTGACTGTTTATCTTATCATTGTTGGTACGTCCAGAAGTAATGTCTGCGTAAGTACTGCTTTTTTGATTACCATTATTGAGAGGTTGTTCTAGTGGCTGACTATCTGGCTTTGAGTCAGATGTAAATTTGACTACGAGGTTACGTTTTGAGCTTTATTATCTCTTTGTATAGATGACAGCCTTTATAGTTTGCAGGATGGTCACACGAGTAAAGGGCGCATTAAACAGGGGTGTGGCGATCTTTTTTTATGCACTGATGTTTTTGTCCTTCACCACATTTGACACTTCTGTATGGCCTCATACAGTTGTTTTGAAGTGACCAAACTGCTGGCGTCTTTGACATTGTACTATTGTGATCAGCTGGTATATGTAATAAATGAATAGCATCTCGTGGATGGCTTTATTACAATGGCCGGGTTATAAGTTAACAAAAATATGTGATTTTGGGTTTTTATCAGGACCACATCTTGAGTTGATGATTTCTCATTTCATTACCAGCCTTTTCTTTTTCTTCTACAATAGCTTAATGGGTCTAGGAAAAGGTGGTAAATCCTACGGACGGGAGCACCATCACCCCCGAAGAAGAAAGAGGTAGAAATTAGTTTAATCGTAGTTCTTATGTCGTAGAACCTTATCTTTTTTCAGCCTAACAAATAACAATAAAATTAAAATGTACGTAAGTAAAAGTAAAATTAAAAATTACACCGAAACTATAACAAAATAGAAAAATCTTGAAGGTTCTAATGTATCATTATTAATTTCATCGGCCACTTTTTGCGTTCAGGTCAATTTCAAAAGGACGCGGCTCAAGTGGTCAGTTGGATCCGCAACGGCGAAGCGATGCTGGCGGCATCGTTCTCCATTCCCGGCACTCTGGCTGAAGCGGAGCAACTGAAGCGAGAGCATGACCAGTTCCAGGTGGCCGTGGAGAAGACCCACGCGAGCGCCGTGCAAGTCAAGTATCGAGCCGATGCGCTGCGAGCCGCCAACCACTACGATCCGCACACGATAAGGTTAATGCTCAGGCCGATTGTCTAATCAATCAATCAATCTATCTCGTGTTGTTGCCTACTCTCACCGCTCTAGCCGAGGCGAGACAGCAGCGAGAGCACATCCAGTTCCAGCCCCTCTAGCATGACCACCGAAACGGGATATGATAAAGCGATATATCATCATTAACTGACAGACTACAGTGTAGTTTGACAGTTAATGCCAATATATCGCTTTATCATATCTCGTTTCGGTGGTCATGCTAGCTGCCCAGGTGGCCGTGTAGGAGACGCATATTCCTAAATCACTACGATCCGCACATGATAAGATAAGCTCTAGTTTTGCTATTTATTATACTGTAGATTTTTTCTTGACGAGTTTTTCTGTCACTTTTATACAACGACTATTAAGTGTGGTTATTTCTCACGAACTACTCCACCAATGGAATTGATTAACGTTGTGTGACCTCACAAATGGACACTATTTATGTTAAAGTGTAACGTTTGTTCCTTACTTTAAAAGTGGTATTTTTCCAACAGAGAAATTTCCGAAGAGGTGACCGAGCGTTGGCAACGGCTCGTCACTTGCGCCGAGGAGCGCCACAAGCTGGTGACCGCCTCGCTCAACTTCTACAAGACCGCGGAGCAAGTGTGTTCCGTGCTGGACTCGCTGGAGCGCGAGTACCGGCGCGACGAGGACTGGTGCGGGTCCGCCGCGGCGCCATCTGCCGACGAGCCCGCTCAGGCCCCCGCCCTGGACAAGGCTGCCCAGGTACAGTATAACGAGACCGTGGGCGAGTGTGCTCCGTGCTGGACTCGCTGGAGCGCGAGTACCGGTGCGACGAGGACTGGCTACTGCCATGGACAAGGCAGGTGACACACGGTTTAAGGTAGTGTCCGCCTCCCTGAACTTCTACAATACCCCGAAGCAAGTGTGCTCCGTACTTAAAAATGGTTAAACTGGTTTGGATGAAAGTTGAAAATCAAAATAGCTTATTACTTGAATTTAGATATAGGCTTATTATAAGTTCCCGTGTGATTCTTAAAAAACAAACTTTAACGCAGATGTAGTCGCAAGCGGAAGATGGTTTTATAACAAAATCTAATACTAATCTAAGTAATCAATCTCGTCGCTCAATGCCTACAATCTGCTGTAGTGATTGTAAACTGTACATGCGATGTAGGTTTGGCGGGTTGGATACTTGCGTTGACCAATATTCCCAGGACTTTTCTGCTTTACTCCCAAAGATTCTATACACCAATCATGAGCCAATGCCTATAAAGACATTAATACTGTACGGTACACCTAGAGTTGATATGATAAGTAAAAGATGATATAAGAATTTAAACTATTTATTACTATATAAAAAACTGATACTATGCTATGATAAATGATTGATAGATGAGTGCGCGCCCGCCGCGATCGGTAAGGAAACGTGAACTGTTGCAATTTCGTAATTATTAACACAATTATGAAAAGTGATGACTTCGCAAGATATACGCTTGTACCGTACATGCTCCCGGCCTAAGAAGAGTAGCTATAAAAGATGATGGTTACACACCACCATGACACCTTTGGTTTAGGGAAGATGCATATATAATATTTATGAAAATTTTATGATTAAAATGTGGAAAAAATATAAAAGAAATGCCACTGCAACGTTTTTATTTTACATAATGTTGTTTTTTAACAATTATTACGAATTAAAAATACTTGAAACGGAACGTATTTTAAAACACCAATCAGCGTTTAGTGACGTCACTCCTGTTATGACAACTTCTTTGAGGTTATGGTTGTTAAAGAGCGTTTTCCATTTAGATTTTGGTAACAGTGTTACCAATGAAAAGTATTGAAGTTACCAAGCTTTAGTTGGCATTAGGTTTTTCTATAGTATCGTCGACACAGTGCAACACAGTGTCGACTTTTTTTTCTAAATGGAAAACGCTCAAAGTAAATATTATTTTATGGGAATATTTATTGCGTTTTTTTACATTTAATAAAAATGAAAGTTGCGTTTATCAAAGCAGACTCCAGGAATTTACCAAGAGTTAGCGTTGACATGGTTATAACTTTTTTTGTCCAAAGTGCAGAGTTTTTAAAGAGTAGAAATGAAAGGGACTAAATTACTACGGCATGTAAAAATCGTAGTTGTTAAACTTCGTATTTTATTCAGCGGCTTCTACAAATCATACGGCGATAATGCAATCGGCTATGTCCAAATTAAAAGAGATGGAAAATTATGTACAGTAAAGGTCAAGTTCTCCGGAGCATAAAGTACGTAAAGAAGGTTATCGTGTTACAGTTATTTTAAATGAAACGCAAAGCTTGGTTCAGTCCTGCCAATGTGAAGATTGTGCCACACTTTATCTAATTTTCGACGTCATTCTCCAACTGTAAAATTAAAAATATGTTATAGACAGGTTTTGTAAGTATTAGGTAGGTTACGAATGCGTTTTTACGTACAAGCAGATTAATTAAGCATATAACAAGCATATTCGCCGATTTACGTCAAAGTGATCTTCTCAGCATCGAATAATGGTCTTTGGAGAATAATTGTCATTTCTCTTCGCAGCTTGAAACCACTTTTTTTTCAGTTTTGGGACAGAAGTTCCAGTCAAAAACTATTTATTTGGGAACTTTGTTGAAGTAGATTGGCACAAAACATGAGTCAATACGGCTTTTTTTCGGAATATTAGTGGTATTGTTATGATCACATGATGTTGATGGATAGTACATTTAAAATTTTTCAAAAAAATATTTCGAAAGTCGAAAAAATATGCTAACAGGACAGGACAGGAGTGACGTCATCGCATCCATAGATTCGTTTTCGCGCGAAAATTTAAATTGTCAATTTAAAACCGCATTTTTTCCGATAAATCACAATGTTTTAATTTTTTAATATATCTGTGGTTTATTCTACATGGAATTCTTTAAAATAAAAACAAAAATAAAAATATTGCATCTTCCCTATTGGGAATACTGTAGTTGATATGATCACAAGCACTTTCACTGGCACATGCACTATTAATATCAGTGAGCGAAAGACGCGCCGCCGGGCGCGGAGGCGGCGGCGGCTGATGAGGGGCCGGCAGCGGCGCCGGGGCAGATTCGCCTCGGCTGCTGCCGGCCGGCTGTGACCTGCGGTGACGGCACACCCTTCTCCAGGCGAAGGTGGCGCCGACCGCACAGCAAACTCCAACTAATATTTATATATGTATATGACGACGTAGTGGTGTACGTCATGTGACGTAATGTTTTCGGTCGATAATTCCACTTCGTTCTGCTTAGCTTTCAATCGCTCTATCCCGCGATTTCCCTAAAAGATGACCGTTGCTCCTCTTCATTCGCTGCGGTAGTATTGATGAACTGGTGTTCACTTCCGCTAGGAGTTAAGGTAAGGTTGATAATGTAGTTGATAGGTGGCACGTCGACTATTATCAAATCTGCTCGATTTTGCATTTCATTTTTTTGCTCGTTGTGCGAATATATAACGAATGAGTCAGATTTCATCATACAATCGTTGACCATAGTGAGTACGTCAGCTCTCATGATTCTTTCCACTGAAACGTGGCCATTGCACATAAATCGTATGTTGTATATTAATATTTTTATTTATTTTCCTAGGTGGCAGCACTGATAGTGAAGCATGGCGAGCAGAAGGAAGCATTTTTAAAGGCGTGCACATTAGCGCGTCGTACTGCCGAGACATTCCTGAAGTACGCGGCGCGATCGGCGCAAGTGCACGGACAAACCGCGGCCGCTAGTAAGGCACACCACGAGCAAACCCGGGCCATACTCGACACTCTACTAGCTCAAGAGAATAAGGTACTGTGCTGCACTATCCCATAGTCAATACTAGCCTTCCCCAGTCCTTGTTTAGGCGGCACGGCGAGCGGAAGGAAATGTTCTTGAAGAGACATTCCCGAAGTACGCGGCGCGATCGGCGCAAGTGCACGGATAAACCGCCCCGCTAGCTAACCGCACCACGAGCAAACCCGGGCCATACTCGACACTACTGGGGGCCATTCGCTTAATGGAAATACTTTGGAAAACGCTAACGCTTTCGATTTTATTTTGTTATTTCTGACCGCCGAAAGTTTTCAAATACCTCACGCTCATTTTTTTAAATATGGTTATTACCTTTGCAAAAGAAAAAAAAGAGCGCGAGGCATTTGAAAACCTCAGGCGGCTAGAAATAACAAAGTAAAATCGTAAGCGTTAGCGTTTTTAAAAACATTTCCGTTAGGCGAATGGCCCCCTGGTAAAAGAGACTAAAGTATAATGAAACACTATCCTATAGTTGATACGGATCAGTATTTTTCTTTCACATCATTAATAAGTCGTGAGAGGCGGGTCGTTGCGTTCATAAAAAATGGTTGAGCGAAGCGATGGCTGGTTCATGCGTCATGCTCGTGAACGGGTGCTGCCAGCGGAGATGAGTTTGCTCTTGCTACATTGGGTACTATTAATCGTTGTACTTAACTTAAATCGTTATTTTTTATGCCTAAACAGTAGGACACGGCATTCCTAAACATTCCTAAACTTTGTTAAACCTTTTTTTTATATTTTTTTATTTTATATTTATAATTTTTATACTATTTACATTTGTAATGGAAAGTGACTTTGATCCTTTTGTGTATTTCAGTAAAAAAACTAAAATAGTAAATATTTTTTGAAATATGCCGCTGGGACGTTTCTCTGGGCAATAAGGGGTGCTTTCGCCCTGCAACCTCGTACCCCGGCTATACAAAGATCGCGAGCTTACTGTAAATATCATGTATTTGCAATATAAATCGAGTTTCAATTGGTAACGCGCATTTATAATTAACAAGATAAAATGATTGCTGATCTTCCCATGAATATAATAGATTTCTATTTTGATACAGTAATTAAATTCCTATTGTATGATGTGACAAAGGACTGGTTTTATTTATAGTTGAATAACGGAAGTTGATATAGAATAAAATGCGGCATTGACAATGACAATAACGCACGAGTTTTATTCAATGAAAAGCGATAAAGGGAAATCTGCACCGCGACAGTTTACGAATTGGCAAGTGTGTTTGTTGTTGTTTCGCGGGCTATTTCGATTATGTCACGCAAAAATGTTTACGCTAAACGTGCCGTGCCGGTGGGTTATTATTAGCGGCGCATTGTCAGTGTCAGTGCCGGCGCGGCTTTGGTTGGGTTTACTGTCCATATAATCGTGATGGAAACTCGCTCTGATGACCATGGTGCTCGTCATTCATGGGGCCGCGCCATGGATACTACGCGTCTGTGTGTTCTGTGTGAAAATGATCAAGAGCTTACTTACGATTCTGTTGCAACCGGTATTTGTGCTTTACGCACATTTTTATCTTTTGACACGTTGCAATGTGATTTGTTCGTCATATTTATAAAAATTTTTTGCTAATACGCCATAATATCAAACTTTTGTAGATTTTTTTTTGTTATTCAAATTTATCGAAATGCAATATAGGATTAGAAGAAAAATTTTTAACCATGCAATCATTTAAGTTAGTCTACGATTATTTTCAATAAATTAACTCATTTTAGTTAGTACTTTTTTAATAACCATACTTTTCTAGATTATCGTGTCGCGTTACGAGGATTGTATGCCTAAATAGTCGCTATGCATATGAAATTAACGAAGTGCGTGCGTAAGATCACTCAAAATCCGTTCTTATCACCAGGTTTTGGAGCATTGGACAGTGCGTAAGAAGCGTCTCGAGCAGTGTCAACAATTCGCGTTGTTCGAGCGATCCGCCCGCGCGGCCGTAGAATGGATCCGCGAGACGCAGGAGCGGTGCGGCGCCGCAGCGGCGGCCGCGGCGGCGGGTGTGGCGCGGGAGAGCCGCGAACGCGTGCGGTTGTTGGCGCAACTGGCTGATGGGCTCGTGGAAAAGGGGCATCCCCACGCCGTACAGATCAAGGAGTGGGTTGCCGCTGTCGATGCAAGGTAACTGAATCGTGCTAACATAATTGTTCAGAGCGGCCTGATCTGAGAAAGGGCTTCCTTATGCCATGCAGATCCAAAAATGAGCTACCACCGTCGATGTAAGCTTTAATCATGCAAACATAATTAACAGTAGAAAAGGTTGTAGTAGACTGAGTGCACAAAAAATCTGCCTACTTTTAAAAATACGTTTAAAAGTAATTTTTTTTTCAGTAAGCCATTCCAATCTAGGTATTTTATTTAATTTATCTTTTACACGAAATTTAATTTGATGCTAAGTTTAACATATACACACGTCAACAGATATGCAGAGTTCAGCGGTTCTATGGAAGGCGGTGAGAGCGAGCCGGAGAGCGACAGCGGCGCGGCCACATCGCTGGCGTCTTCGCAGGCGGGCGAACAAGACTCGCGTTCAGATGTGCCGCCGCCCGCCGCCGGCGACGATAAGAGGAGAAGCGCGCGGCGTAAAGAGTGAGTGCTGTTATTCTTAACATGCGTACTCGTCAACATAGGACAACAGACATGCTGACAGCGGCGATGAACATATAGATGGCGATGATGAGAGCATAAGTGCACTATGAAATGATTGACTGTTACTTTTGTTTTACTACATATTTGTGCTAATTGATGTGTAATATTTTTCCTCTCGCATTCCTGCAATTTGTAGGAGTGATTTCGTGAAATGGACGGAAGTGTGTAACAGGAAGTCGTGAAAGCGCGCGCTATTTGATTTGATTTTAGAACAGAATGTTCAAATGGCTTATTCCTTTTGTAGTAGGTTTTGTTTACTTTATAATTATTTTAATGGGTGAGGTTTCAAATGTTACACATCATACGCGACTACTGTAAGACTCGCTCGGTTTTTTTAAATTAATATCTTTTGGTGTGTTGTTTCATTGCCTTCGCTGGTAGTGAAGAGTTACGTTTGCTGGATTATATGTAGAATTATGTAATAAGTTCCTTTCGTAAAAAGAACTCTTCTATAGAATAGCGACGGTTAACTAGTGTACGTAAGTTCATGAAAATATTAAACATGCATTAAGTATTAAAGCTAAAGTAAATTGGTGTAGATTCTTCTCGTCTCTACAGCATTAAATAATGGATTTTTTTAACAAGTTGCTTAAGTGTTTGTCACTTTTACTTTGACGCAGGTTCATAATGGCCGAGTTGCTTCAAACCGAGCGCGCGTATGTCAAAGATCTGGAGACCTGCATTACTTGTTATCTTCGCGAGATGCGAACGGACCCTGGCGGGGTGCCGTCTGCGCTACAAGGAAAGGTGAGGTCATAATAACCTAATATCCTAAGTAGAGCAACGTTTAACTAATAAAATGGTAAAAGCCTTATTTTATTTGCCATGAAAACCGTTGTGTGAAGTCAGGATAACTTTACTTGTCACATCGTGTAAGGGCTGCAAACTAGCATACGACCCGCCTGATGGTAAGCGGTCACCATAGCCAGAAGAAGCGATAGAAGCAAGCGATGCCAGAGTACCACTTGTACCGTTACTTTCCCTAATCCGAAACACAACATCGTCAAACGTTTGTGTTATTTCACTTGAACCAGATGAGCGATCAAAGTCGATCAAAACCCTCCCTGCCTTCGTACATGTACTATGCAAACCACAGACATAGATCGAAATAGGTATTGCAAGTGTATGTACTTCGCGTGCAATTACGAGGTATTTCTTTTTTGGTATGCCAATTGCATTTTTAAACGTCTTAACTATGCCATAATAAGCTATTCAATAATAACAATTGAAAAAATGGCCATTCCCATGCTTTTTCTCCACTTCATTTGCCCTCAAAATATGACACGCTCGGTTTTCATACAATTTGAACACACGTGTCATGTCTACTTAAATCTATGTCTGTGATGCATAAAGTTAACCAAAACCTCCTTTCACTAGGAGGAGATGATATTTGGCAACATAGAGGAGATCCATCGGTTTCACGAGCGCGTATTCTTGCGCGAGCTAGACAAGTACGAGTCGATGCCGGAAGATGTGGGACATTGTTTCGTGACGTGGGCACGCGAGTTCGATATGTACGTCGCGTACTGTCGCAACAAGCCCGACAGCAACGCGGTGGTCGTGCAGCACGCCGGTGACTATTTCGAGAGGTGAGACTGTCCCCATTAGCCACGACGCCGGACCAATAGTAGTTTCCGGAGCATAAACATCGCAACAAGCCCGGCAACAACGCGGTGGTCGTTCAGCACGCCGGCGAGTACTTCGAGAGGTGAGACTGCTCCCATTGGCTACGTCGCTGACCAATAGTAGATGCTGGAGGATGTGAGACATTATAGCTATTAACGGGACTGTTACCGTTTACCTTGTTTTTTATGAGTCTCCGAGATATTTCTTAGTTCCATATATACTTCGCGTACTGTCGCGACAAGCCCGACTGTGGTCGTGTATAAGAAATACAAACAAAACACACACTGCCATGTCCACGTACATACAGTAATTTAAGAAATGTTATGACAGAAAAACAGGGCTAAGAACTCACGGTGCAGATTTTACGTCGCAAACAACCGCGCGCTCAGGTGCGCAAATCGCACACTGCTAACCATATAGCTAGCCTATAAATATGATTTTTATACCGTGCTATTTCACAACTACATATTGAACTATTTCGGAGAAGCAGTAGATAGTCGGCTATAAAAACCTTGACTATAATTAAATTGTGTAAAGGACAATAGTAAATAAAAAATAAATTTATATCTAAGATCAACTGCTCATCATTCAGTCATTACTGATTCCTATTGATTACGCTGACGTCTGTTATCTTGATCTCACAGAAGAACAGCTTAATAAGCTTGAGCGACTTCAAAACTTTTGTATTTGCTTCATTTTGGATTGCGCAAATATGATCACGTTTCTCAATTTTGTTTGCAGCTCAAGTGGCTACCTATTCGCCTTCGCCAGAATACTCATATTCTTACTCTTCTCTACAACATATTGTTCAATCCTAAGTCACGCGCTATCTTCAGGAATGTTTTAATTTCCTTCACACTTCTAACACGTTACCTCTTAGGTCATCAGAGAATCTTACCCTCATGACTTCTGTATACAGTACAACTTTTTACAGTTCGAGCCGTTCAGCTGTGGAATTCTCTCCCAGTTCCAATACGAAGTGCGGAATCGATTCACATTTTTAAAAATCTCGTGAAGTCTCACTATTTGTCTTTGTAATTGAAGTTATACTTCTTTAGACGCGTTATGAAAAAATGATGAGAGTGAAATTTTTAGATGCGCGCGCATCACTGTAACCCAAAAGTAACAGCATGAAGTTGGCCGCGGGCGCGTTATGAAAAAATCATGTGAGTGAAATTTCGAGATGCGCGCGCATCACTGTAACACAATAGTAACACCATGAAGTTGGCCGCGGGCGCGTTATGAATGTTAGTGTTACTTATCACCACTTAGTGGTTAATAATCCACCATTATTAGACATCTGTTCGAAAGGTACTTTGAACGATCCACGGAGCTCCATAAGATGATCGCGTTGTCAAAAACAATGTTGGCACGCTCGTCGCCTCTGATCACTGTTTTCATATTTATAATATTTATCCACATGTTTCTAGTTTCTATATAGACACAACGTGTTTTAGTTACTTACAAGTGCTAATTACATATGGACTAATAACTTAAATTCAGTAGTGATTTTAATTGAATATTTTGAATATTTATTTAATTTTTCAAATTAAAACTGAACTTAATTGACTGTGTTAACTATCATTTTCCAGTCCTTTCATTATTTTATTGTAATTATTAATTATTTGCCTGCAATTTTAAATTACAATTCCAACGCGTACAAAGAAATTTGGGGACTCATTTCTTTGTCGCACTATCCGTAAATGGAATGCTCTGCCCGCTCACGTGTTCCCTCCCTCTTACAACCTGGGATCCTTTAAAAGAGGCGTGAAGAAGCAACATGCAGGCCGGCAGGGTGAGGATGGCTGGTGTGGCAGGTAGAACTGCTGTATCAGCTATCTTCGCGTCTGGACTTCACCTTCACTTAACATCAGGTGGGGTGGAGTCATTTGTCGGACCTAACTATAAAAAAAAAAAAAAGAAAAAAATTAAAAAATGTTTTTAATGATGCTAAAGAAGTATAACTTCTCACGCGCGTACATAAGTTACACGCATCCATTTTTAATTTTTTTATTTTTGTTTTATAATCTCTTTTGTAGTTTCTACCGACTGGACTAGATTTATGTATGTATATGTTTGTACGTATATATATATATATGTATATATATGTATAAATATGAAATATATGTGTATTTGTTTGTGTATGTATATGTATATATTAATAAATTACGTTGAAATTTTCGCCGCCGTCTCTCCCACTTCCTTCTAATCCTCTCCATCCAAAGGTTGTCTGGAAAAGATCGCTTTTAGCGATAAGGCCGCCCATTGTAACACTCTTAATTTAAATGGCTCTGTATTTATTGTAATGTATTCTGTGGTGTTCAATAAAGTGTTTTGTATTGTATTGTATCAATTTATGATAACGTTTTCATTTTAAAATCCTAGTAACGACCCTTGCTATGTTTTTGTCTGGCCCATTCCAAACTTGGAAAAAGAGGCTATTCGACAGTAAAAAAAGTACCAAATGTTTGCACCTGATTTAACATAGATGTTAAACGTGACAAAGAATCTCTGTTGTGACTATCCCACTGTGCCCAGGTTACCACTTTTTGCAACTACGCAAAATTAACTTAAGTTTATACAAGATAAAGTAAATTTTCGAAAATGTTATTTCTAGTAGTCCTGTATATAGTATGTCTATGGTTTGACGTTTTATTATTATATCTATGACACGCAATATTGTTCAGATAAGTGTTTAAGCGTCATATTTGAAAAATATTTTTTGAATTAGTTTTCTAACCGAAATACGCAGCAGAGTGGGTAATTTATAATATTATTGAAATCATTTTGAATAGCCTTTTCAAAGAGTTCGTAAATACTAGTGAAAAATGTAAGATGGTTTTCAAAAATTGTTAAAATACCCTAGTGGAGTTAGGATTTATGATACAGAAAACCCTTGCGATGTCCTTGTTGACTGGTGTTCAGCATACAGGATCGATTGCGTGCAATCTTCCCGCTTTGTTTTCGGAGTGAAAAATCCTGAAATGATCTGGTAGATCCGAAACTTTTCTGAGTCCTTGTAAAATGGGTACTAACTCGTTTTTTCTGGTAATAAGTACGCTTTCGTAAGCTTAGCAAATGCCCAGCACCTTGATTTGTTTTGGGATTCCTTAAGCCAATGAAAACTGTTTATTTGTCAAGAAATATATATCGGTGCCATTATCGGTCGCATTTTATGAAACGTCTATCGATACGCCTTGCTAATATCGCTCAGATACTACACTGCTGTTTATATATTATTTTTTATTAATCGTTCAACCCTGTATTATAATAAGGGAACGCGCATCCCGAATTGTCATTACTTACAAAGTTATATTAATACAGGGTGTTACAAAAATATGATCCTCGAACTAGTGACGTGTCTTAAAATGATCGATATTTTTATTAATCATAAAAAATAACTGTTTTATACAAAGTTAAAACCTCATGCAAATATTTAAAGAAAATTCGAGAAGACTCCTTATAGGTAGCACTTCAACGCCCTTCAAGCTTTATTTGTATTATTGTAACACCCTGTATAATAGATCTGCGCAGCAAATCGCTTCCGATATTATAGTCCAATTTGAAAAGCCATTATCTTGCGCATATCTGTTGGTTTATCTAATATGGCAATTTGGAAACACAAATTCTTATTTATGTATTCACGACGCTCGTTATGGAGTCATTACGATAACGTTCGTTAACAGGCTACATACAATTTTTTTATCTCTTTGCGCAGACGATATTCACGTTGACTTTGTTTTATGTAAAGACATATAATGGATCTTGACGCGAGTATGTTTTGTTTTGCTTAGGGTGCAACGCAAGAAGAAATTAGAGCATCCATTAGCAGCATACTTGATCAAACCAGTACAGCGAATCACCAAATACCAGCTGCTACTAAAAGACCTTCAAGCTTGCTGCGCCGAAGGACAAGGCGAAATCAAGGTAAGTCAATATATTATTATGCAATATATTTGTAACCTACTACGTGATCTTTTTCTCCCTTTATATTTGACATACTCAATTTAATAATAAAATGTTGTTGTTACTTTAAACAGAAAACTTTTTTTTTGCTGTAACCATGTCTAATTAATATTCTTTTTACCCGGCTGCGCAATGCAAGAGCGCGAAGCGCGACGCGCAGACAGGGTTATGTGTTTAACAGTCTATATATGTATGTTTGTTCCTTTGTGGCACACTAGAGACCAAACGCCTGGACCGATTTTGATGATTCATACATCAATCGATTCGTCTCAATCATGGGAGTGCTACTAAAGATATGATAGTAATCAAAATTCAATATGGGCAAAATTAGGCGCATATTGTGACGAAGTAAAAAAAAAAGTTGACAAAATATGTTGAGTGGGGTATCACTGTCTAGATAATCAAAAATCATATTTAGGTTCCTAAAACCATTTTTCATTTTATATGATTGTTTAGGATCTACAACGCTTTAAAGTTGTATATTAACCACTTACGCTTTTAATTTCAATCTTACGTTTGTATGGATCTTTGTTACTCTTTCACCTTTTTACGTTAACGTTAACAACTTTTTCACATCTGTAGGAAATAACTTGGCAAACTTAACTCTTAATAAACTTATCACCAATGAATTCGATTTAGCAGCAAAAAACAAAAATAATAATAATCTATTGAATACTATGTCCCTTTTTTTGACAGACAGAAGTTAATTCAATAATATCTACCATGAAGTCGAGATGTGCTACAGGTTGGGATAATATCTCGAATGACTATTTCAAATATCTTAAAGAATCTCTTATAGAACCGGTTACTCATCTGTGTAACATTAGCTTCTCAAGTGGAGTATATCCAAAAATCTGTAAAAAAGCCATCGTGACTCCTATATATAAAACGGGCGCTACAGATGTTCCTTCTAATTATAGACCAATATCATTGCTTTCAACCTTATCGAAAATAATTGAAAAGTTAGTAAATAAGCGACTCAACAAGTATTTAGAATCTAAAAATTTATTTGCGGGAAATCAGTATGGCTTTAGAGCAAAAACTTCTACAGAAGACGCAGTTTTGGATCTTACCTCCAATATATATAAGCATCTGGATAATAAGAGGAAGTGTATTGCTGTGTTTTTGGATCTACAAAAAGCGTTCGATACGGTCTCAATCCCTATCCTGCTGTGTCGATTAGAAAATTTAGGTATAAGGGGCGTTGCACTGAATTGGTTCAAAGACTATCTTCAAAATAGAAGCCAGACTGTTCGATTGGGCGGCCATTTTAGTGAATCTGCTTCCTGTAATTATGGTGTACCACAGGGCAGTACTCTTGGTCCAACGCTATTTTTAGCTTACATTAACGACCTCTGTAAAATCCATCTGAAAAAAGGCGAGTTATTTATGTTTGCTGATGATACTGCTCTCGTATTTTATGGTTCATCTTGGAATGAAGTTAAAATTACTGCAGAAAAAGGGTTATCTAAGGTTACAGCCTGGCTTGAGAATAGTTTGTTATCCCTTAATGTGAATAAAACTAAATACATCTGCTTTTCCATAAATAAGGCCTCCAGCCCTAAGAAGTCTTTCTCATTAGCTATTCACACTTATCCCTGTAATCTTCTATCAGATATTCTATCGGACTGTAACTGTGCAAAGTTAGATCACGTTAAATCATTCAAGTATCTTGGAGTCATGATAGATGAACACTTAAAATGGGACGCTCATATTTCACTTATCTCTGGGCGTATCAGAAAATTAATGTATGTTTTTAAGAACCTTCGCACGGTAACTAACCTGCCTTTGTTGATTAGAGTTTATAAATCTTTGGGAGAATCTTTAATCTGCTACTGTATTTGTGCTTGGGGAGGCGCTGCACAAGTACATTTAATTAAATTGGAAAGAGCTCAAAGAGCTGTATTGAAGGTTTTAATGACACTACCGATTCGACACCCAACAGCCTCATTGTATGAAAAAACTAAAGTCTTGAGTGTTCGAAAATTGTTTATTTATCAGGTTATACGCAGATTGCATAATAATGTAAGTACAATAACTAATGTCTGTAAGACAAGAGCGGCAAAGTGTAATATTCCTCCTTTTAAAACCAAGTTTGCCTCGAGATCATATGACTTTGTGGCACCTTCAGTCTACAACGTGTTACATGCTAAACTTAATCTAAGGCAGTATACAAGCAGACAGATAAAGCAACAGATCTGTAATTATTTATTGGAGTTAAATGAAATAGATTTAAATATCCTTATGATGCCTCTGAGTTAATGACTATGATGAAATTAATTCAAGTTCAGGAGATTGGAATGGATCAGGTAAAATTGCAAATTAGTAATAAAATGGCAATAAATAAAGCATTTATGGGAACCGTTATATATAAATACATACACACACAAAAACACACATGCGCGCATACGCTCACACACTCACACACACACACACATACAATTACATTTTTATTTTTATTTTATTTTTTATTATTGTGTTTAAGTTGTTTCTTTAGCACTTCTCATATTAATTAACACATTAATCACATAAATGGTACAGGGGTGGCTTGTTCTGTTCATGTAGTTTTGGGAGTGGAGGCCTGGTGTCTTGTAGAACAGGTTTATCCTATTGCAAGCACCAGTCTTCACATTAAGTGGTGAGGTGTTGTAATTAAGCACTTTATTGTAAATTTTTCTACTTATGTGAAGAAATAAATAAAGAATTTATTATTATTATTATTACCTAAAAAATACTGAATGGATTTTAATGAAACTTAACAGTAATATAGCTCATATTTGATAATTACATATATATATAATAATTTATGTAGTTATTGAGTGAATTGGCCAATATATAGCAATAAGTGTCACATAAGACGGAAAAAAATGTCCCATCTGCGAGCCATTTTGGCCTGCACTGCAAAAACAATAAAAGTTACATGAATGTAGAGTGAAAATGTATCTCTTAAATAGTTCTAAAAAAAAGTCCGTGGCACCATATATCTATTTTTAATGTGTAAGTCATTACCGCTAAAATAGTGAATCAAAACTAAAATATTATTTGATATCTATTTCCAAAATGCACATTTTGTATTAACAAATATTTTTTTATCAAAACAAATACTTTAATCGCTTTTGATATTTAAAGATGATAAACTTTGCTTTTTACACTATGTCATTTCGACAAATATTTAAAAAGTTACAACGATGACAAAGTGATAGCGCGGTGTACTATGTAAAAGAAAAAAAAATGGGGTATTCGCAGTATCTGATCCTATACGAAGTACTAACATTAAAACTGTTATACAGTTCCTTCTTATTAAATGATGAAAAATATATTGTCATAATAGGTATTTATGATTATTGAATTGTAATGAAAAGCTCAGAATTTTACTGTTTTTCATTTTTTTTAACGATATTACTTAAGGTTACAAAAAAGGTTTACTTAATATAATGACAAATAACCCATTTTTCGCTTAGTAAGTACATACTTATCGGAATCCCTGTATTTATTAATCGCTCGCGATAATATTGGTTTTGTAAAAATTCTGCAAAATTCAAAGTAAATAATGTAGATTTTTATAGGTAAATCACCCCTTTCATCACCCTACGCCTATAAGTATTGCGATGTTGTAGCTAAGAACCAAGTTCCCATCTACTTCTATATGGGAATTCATTATATTCGATTTAGCTATTAGGGCACGGAAGCGCAACAAACAAACTCACTTTCGCATCTATAATATTATATTATACTTACTAGTGATCCACCCGGGCATTGTAAGGGCGAAATTTATTTATCGGGATAAAATATAAATTCAAATTCAAATTCAAACTCATTTATTCAGTCTAGGCTGTTACAAGCTCTTGTGAAAGTTCGTAAATCTACGGCGGGAGACCTTGTACTGAGAAGAACCGGCAAGAAACTCAGCAAGGGCTATTTTTTTCTCCCTATTTTGTTTCACACAGTGTCGTCAATTGAAAGATGACATCAAAAATTTAATACATGTGTTGATGTCAACTTCCATCACATTAATATTATTAATTAACAAAAGTTAAGTATAACTAGGTACTATTTTTAAATTTAGAAGTGGCGATTAAACAATTTTCAACCAAATTAGCAAAGTAAAACGACAGTCTATTATGTTAAGCCCAAGGTGACTTATCATTTATGAAATCTTTTACAGTATAGTAACCTTTCTTAAGGAGACATGTTTTTATACACACTTTAAACTTATTAAAAGGTAAATTAATTATTTCTTTTGGTATTTTATTATAGTAACATATACCTTGACCCACAAATGAACCAAGAACCTTTTGGAGTCTCAATGGTGGCAATTTGAGTTTTTCTTTATTTCTGGTATTGAAATTATGTACATCATCGCGCCTCGTATATAAATTTATGTTCTGACGCACAAACAATATACAATTGTAAATGTATTGAGAGGCAACAGTCATTATACCTATTTCTTTAAATTTATCCCTAAGAGAAGTTCGAGATCCCAAGCGGTAAATAGCCTATGTCACTCGGACAAAATGTATTTAAATAAAGAAAAATGTTATAATAAATAATGTAGCTACCTTATGATGAATTAATATTTGAAACCGGTTCAGTAGTTTGACAGATTATTTGTTACAAACATACGAATCTTGCCTCTTTATAAAAAGAAATTTGGAAAATAATTGCCATGATTGCACTACTGGGAGTACTCTTCATTCGAGCTTTACACTACCAATAAAAAAGGGTCGAACACAAAGTCTTTGACCTGTTAAATGTGAACGCTTTAAAAGAAAACTACAAAGAGAACTATAAATTGATAATAAATGAGACTGCTATGGTGCTCTACCTAACGTTATGAAACTTTTATTATGCGCCTTTAGTTTAATCAAATATTATAAACTTTGCTTTGGTGATTGCATAATTATTCAATTTAGTGATCTAAGGCAGTTGCCACCATTGTCCAAAACAACAGACGGGAATTA